AGTTTGTGCCAAAGACTGCAATTCCTTTAAAAGTCGACATTTTTCATCTTACAACTTAATTCAGTGATGAGTGATTAAAAGTGAGATTTAGATATCAATGAATATGAACATGATATCAATGAATATGAACATGATATCTTTATTTCAGATCAAATCCTTATCAGATTCAACTCAAATTGCAGACAAGGTGAAATAAGAGGAAAATTTGTTCGATTGCAAATGCCAATTGGCCAAAAACTTGGCTTGCATTTCTAAGATATATCCCAACATAAAAGCCCTATTAGGACTTGTAAAAATGTTTAATCGTACCAATAACGTAAATTATACAGTTTTCCTCAAACCAGGGATACCAGGGATACCAGGGATACCAGGGATACCAGGGATACCAGTGATACCAGGGATATCAAGGATCCCAGGAATACCATGGATAGCAGGGATACCAGGGATACCAGGGATACCAAGGATACCAGGGATTTCAGGGATTAGACCGAGAGATATCACATAATTAGACAAACTCACACAATCACACTCAAACATTGACACCTAGCACTAACACAAAAACTACGGTTCATTTCAAGCATCAGAATGTCTTTAAAGAGACAGTAGACGAAATTTCAAGTCACCTTCCATGCTGCATGGCAAAGATGGCAATTGTTGATCCCCAAGATTCCCTTCACCCAGAGCCCGCGATTTAAAAAATTCGGGAAAATACGACTCGAGTTTACGCTGTCGTTGGGCCTTATTTACGGCTTGAGCTTTCGGATTCAAGCTGCATCTTATTTTCAACAGAGTTGAGTTCAAAAAACTGGTTTAATATCCTATTTGGCGGATTTTCATGGCAGGAATTAGCACATTCCGGGTTTTTTATGAGAACAAGACGCAACATTAGCCTAATTCTCCACTAAAACCAACCAAGGTCGGTTTTATTTTCATTGGGCCTTACGGGCCTTACTTCTTAAGTCGAGCCGAAGATCTTGCAACTGTTAATCACTTGACACAAGCTGTCGTCAGAGTAGGGTCGAAGATTGGGTCTGAAAGCTGGTTTTAACCCTATTCCTGCTAGGGGGGGGGTCAATTTGACCCCCCCCTGTAGTTTTTTGTACATAACTCAGAAAGTATTGGTCTGAGGCTGTAGAAATTTTCTGACTTTTCCTACATACCCAAAGCCCTCCATTTAGGCCTAAAACCGGGCTTTAATACTAACTGCCTGAGTCCTCAGGCACACTGCCTGAATGACTGCTTTTTCCTGTAACAAACTAAATCTTTGTTTTGACCCACTTCCACTTCTCAGATTTTGATAAAATTTAGCTTTTTGGAAAGCCTTTGACATAAGGAAACGAATTGCACAAGTGTTGCGAAAAAAAATTGCAAATTTTTTGCAAACAACCTGTCAAAGGAAATTTGCACATTTTTAGTTTTTCTTGATTAAAAATTAGGTTATTTAAAATTTTGCAAAAATTTTTGCATATTTAAAAAGGCATGGTCAAGGGCTTTTCAAAAATGTATAATTTTTCATTTTTGGACAATTTTTTTTTGCAAACATTTTTACTATATAACTGGATTTTGCGATAAAAAATCTAATTTTGCAAATTTGCAAATTTTTTTGCAGAATCTAAAAGTAGAGCACAAGAGCTTTTCAATGGTGTATCATTTGTCATATTTGGATATCAAACATGGGAATTAGAGGGGGGGTCAAATTGACCCCCCCCCCCCAGCATATCCTGGTTTTCAAGTACGCCAGCAGAGATAGGGTTAAGGAATTACGGCTCAAGCCGAAGTTTTTAAATCGCGGGCTCTGGACTGTTTCTTCTATTTTAATTCAATTGCGTTTAGGTCTATAACTTGGCAAATCTTAAAACTTAAAGAGTTTACTTTTTCTACTTTTTAATTTTAAACGCATCAACGAACAAAATCATATGAAAGAGAAAAAAATGAAAAAATAATGCTTAATTGTTAAAATTAGGATCGAAAGTGACATCTTGCTGGTACTAGGATCAAACTGTAAAGCTTTGTCTGATCAAGTATGAATTAAATGTCAATGTTTTATAGTTTAGAAAACGAATTACTTTTAATTTGGATTTCTCTACAAAAACGACACTATAGTCTATATTATAGGAAAACATATGGAAATTATCCTAATGAAGCACTTTTAAACCTTTATAATCAGATATAAGAATATTAAAGATTTAAAAATTTCATATATATACATATTTGAAATTGTAGCACACTGCTATTCTACAGGAAAAATCTCAATCACTACAGTTTCAGTAGAAGTAAATGTTTCCATCTACTTATAGCGCCGATTGAAGGATTACCGCCATGCAATTTTTATTGGTTCAGAATAGACAGCAAACACGTGACTGAACCGTGATTGGATCAGGCGCTATTGGACTCCAATATGTGCTGCATAATTCTGTATAGCTAAAACAGTCAACATTTATATATATATCACAAGTTTTCACAAATATTAAATTATCAAATTATGAAATATGACCTACATATTTATAACAGTTTTGTAGTGCACCGTGTGATGTGTATGTTTACTGCATAATTCTAGTTCTATCTCTAGAAATTAGTATGCTAAGTGTTGTTTGAGTGTATGGTGTGTATAATGGTGGATAGAGAAGAATAACGAGGATGGAACCACGTTAAACTAACTAAATAACTCAAAGTCCATTTCGTCTCTATCCGATTTTTTTGGTCATATTTGAATATCTCATTCCAAATCCGTCGAATAATAGACTTTTACTATTAAAAATTTAAATACATACATACGTAAAAAAATGTGAAATAGCAACAACGAAAAAACGCTACATTAAATGGGTGAAAATGGATTATAAAATTGAGTTTCGCAGGAATTTTAATCAGGACATCTAGTTCACCGTGGAACAGAACATTTAAATGTTCCAACATGAATCAGGAAAATACAGGAACAGAATATATCATAGTCATCCTGTATTCTTCGTAAATATATACAGGGTGTACCATAGTCATCCTCCGGCTTGAGTTGTATTTATACGATACATATTTAGAATACAGAGAGTGCAGTATCTAGATTGATACTTACTTGAGCATAAAGAAAGTTGTATCTGGATTTACACCAACTTTACAATGCATATAGTGCAGTATCTAAATTGATACTTACTTGAGCATAAAGAAAGTTGTATTGGGATTGTTACCAGTATGAGAATATAGAGAGTGCAGTAACTGGATTGATACTTACTTGATCATGAAGAAAGTTGTATTGGGATTGTTACCAACTTTACAATGCAGAGAGTGCAGTATCTAGATTGATACATAGTACATATTTGAGCATAGAGAGAGAGAGAGAGTTGTATTGGGATTGTTACTAACTTTAGAATATAGAGAGTGCAGTATCTGGATTGATACTTACTTGAGCAGAGAGAGAGAGAGTTGTATTGGGATTGTTACCAACTTTAGAATATAGAGAGTGCAGTATCTGGATTGATACTTACTTGAGCAGAGAGAGAGAGAGTTGTATTGGGATTGTTACCAACTTTAGAATGTAGAGAGCGCAGTATCTAGATTGATAAATACTTGAGCAGAGAGAGAGAGAGTTGTATTGGGATTGTTACTAACTTGAGAATACAGATAGTGCAGTATCTGGATTGATACATACTTGAGCATAGAGAGAGAGAGTTGTATTGGGATTGTTACCAACTTTAGAATGTAGAGAGTGCAGTATCTAGATTGATACATACTTAAGCATAGAGAGAGAGAGAGTTGTATTGGGATTGTTACCAACTTGAGAATGTAGAGAGCGCAGTATCTAGATTGATACATACTTGAGCATAGAGAGAGAGAGTTATATTGGGATTGTTACCAACTTGAGAATATAGATCGTAAATTGCAGGGTGTCTCACAGTCATGATGTCTCCTTCATTTATTGCAGGGTGTCTTACAGTAAGTTTTCACTGTTAATAGAGTGACTAATAAAAATATGCTCAAAAATTCGATAAAAGCTAAATATAATCAAAGATAATATGGGTAGAATTATAATAACCCCATGAAGAATAGAAATAGTTTAGATTATCCCCTTAAAAAGGGATAGAGTTAGTATGTAAATAGCATGTTTAAGGTAAATAGAGTTAGTATGTAAATAGCATGTTTAAGGTTCATTTTTTCAAACTTATCTTTTGAATGTTTTATTGTTGAGGGAGGTTTATGAAGGAAAAGGCTGAATTAGCTACATCTTAAAAATAATATATTCTAATCTTTTTTTCAGAGTCTTTAATTACAAACATTCAAAACTTAAACTCGTTAGATCGAATAAATTTTTACAATTCATAGATTCATAGAATTAACTTTTCCCGTAGCAAGGGCTTTCCAAAACCTTTCAACCATCCTTACCCCATATGCAAAATTTTTTAAATTAAAACATATTCAAAATTTTACTCTCCCACCATACTCCAAAGTTGAAAAGTTTTTTCTAAAAATTAGAAAAATATTACAGGGAGTGTGGGGAGGGGGTGGGATCGGTATAGGGTTAATTTATTTGATCCTATTGGGTTTCAATGAAAATCCCAAGTTTAGGATCATATTTTGAAAGAAAATTTATAATCCTTATATCTTTGAAATTTAATGGTAATTGCAAAGATAAATGACTTATAAAATCAGAGTTTGCAGCAAAGACTGATTTCGCCTATATATTATTAGACAATTAAACACTTTAAAAAATCCAAGAAAGATATTTGGTTTATAAATTGAGCTGAATAAAAAATGGTCAACAGGCCTCACTATAGACTGTATATATATATAAATATATATATATGTCTTATAGTTTTAGTTCAGATTACGTTAACATTTTTGATGTTGTTATTCGGGCAATAAATCAGCTCTAGAAATGGCGGAAATGGGCGGTCATTTTTATTATTGAAATCACGTCAACATAGAAGTCCATAATGTTGACGTTTTTCCACAATATATGTTAATACAAACATTAATACTTTGAGGAAAATAACAATTAACAAATAAAAATCTGATAAAAATAAATTTATTAGATATAATATGACCGATTCATACAGTTAATTAAATAAACAGAATAAATTATTTAATAAATATTCATAAAATAATAATAATGCCAGCATAGAAGGTTTGGACTAGTTCATATTATAAAACAAAGGATTTGGAAATCATATTTTTTAAAATGATGTATAAATATAAAAGAATGTAATTAATAAAGCATTGGGGTAAATTCTTCAAAAACTGGCTGGTAGAGCTGATACTCGCTAGCGGGTTTTCGATACACTCGTTCGTCTCGTCTCGATAAAGCTGCATAAAGTTTCGACATCGAAGTCGATTCTGCGGTCTGAAGGTTTGACTGTCGACTCCCTATATAAAAAGTTATATTTTAAAAATTAGAATGAATAAATTTTACTATTGCAAAACCTTGATTAAAGTTTTAATAATTTAAAAGTCAAATAGAAGCGAGGTTCTGAAGGTTAGTAAGGGTAGCGAGGGTAGCTAGGAGTAACTCGGTTACCAATATATACAAAACATTTGAACCGCTACAATTATATCCACGTAATATAAACTGCAGCGAGAGAAAGCCGATTAGAGTTAAAAATACGGATTCCATTTAATATTTAATCTAATATCAAAATTCAACATAAAAACATTTTTAATTTATAAAATCTGACATACAGGGATCCGCATATAGAATATGACTTTAATAACGACCTAAAACTCTTTCGATCTAAAAATGTTAGTTTTTTTGTCATAAAAATTATGATTGCCATACTTCTTGATCCGATAACATAAACAGGTTTTAAGCTGACTGAATAATTTAAAAAAATTGGAATCATTCCGTACAGTCGTCTCTGATTTTTTCATCCTTAGCAGGCAACCTTTTATTTGATACATCAACAAAAAAATATCTTTTTTATACAATATGCATTTTTTCGAAAATGATGTGAATATACCCCCACTAAAAAACGAAACAAAAATAATATTCGTAAGCTATATATAGTTTTAAACGAAAATCCCTTTTCTTATAAAAAACTCATTGTACAAAATTAAAAAAATAATTTGATAGTTTTACCTGATCGTTGAAATCAGTTTTCTAGATTCCGGCTGAGAGCTGATCAATTCAGCCATTTTTCTAAAAAAATATATTTCAAATTGTTAAAAAAACTGAGAACTAATCCTGATGCTTTTAATTAGTTTTTTCTTCAAATGAAATCATGAGGTTTTTAAAAAGTGGGAATGGAATCAAAAATAATATCATAAATAAAATTATGTTAAATGTTAAATGAAGCATCCTGTATTCCATGTTAAACGAAACACCCTGTATCCCATGTATAATGAAACGCCCTGTATCCCATGATAAATGAAACACTCTGTATCCATGTATAATGAAACACCCTGTATCCCATGTTAAATGAAACACCCTGTATCCCGTGTTAAATGAAACACCCTGTATCCATGTATAATGAAACACCCTGTATTCCATGTTAAATGAAACACCCTGTATTCCGTGTTAAATGAAACACCCTGTATCCATGTATAATGAAACACCCTGTATTCCATGTTAAATGAAACACCCTGTATTCCGTGTTAAATGAAACACCCTGTATCCCGTGTTAAATGGAACACCCTGTATCCCATGTTAAATTAAACACCTTGTATTCCGTGTTAAATGAAGCATCCTATATCCAGAGTTTAAAGAAACACCCTGTATCCCTTATTTGATGAAACACCCTGTATACCATATTTGATGAAACACCCTCTATACCATATTTGATGAAACACCCTGTATCCCATATTTGATAAAACACCCTATATACCATATTTGATGAAACACCCTATATATCATATTTGATGAAACACCCTTTATACCATATTTGATAAAACACCCTATATACCATATTTGATGAAACACCCTGTATACCATATTTAATGAAACACCCTGTACACCATATTTGATGAAACACCCTGTATACCATATTTGATGAAACACCCTGTATACCATATTTGATGAAACACCCTGTATACCATATTTGATGAAACACTCTGTATCCCATATTTGATGAAACACCTTATACACCATATTTGATGAAACACCCTGTATCTCATGTTAAATGAAACACCAGCTGTACCTTATTAAAGAATCCTTCTTTGTATTTTTTTCTTTGATAGATTGTAGTTGGCACTGTAGATCTCTGATTATAAACCTTCTCTCCTGTTTACCACCATCTCCCACCTTCTCTACCCCATCCACCTCATCCTCTCCACCTTCTCTGCCCTGGACAATCTACAATACATTTCATTTTCAAAACCTTCTCTCTTCAGTACATAACTAAATCAGCAAAGAAAATGAATCTTAGACCATAGTGATCTTTCCAGGCTATATTAGTGGTATAAAGGATTAAAGCATTTATTTGAAAATACAATCAGCTTGAAAAGAAATAGAGATTAGAACCTTTTAATTTTGTGCCCAAGGCAAAATTCCTATATCATGTATTCATATATACATAATATACTATGATCCATAAATGCCATGATGGATGTTTGGTAGTTTTATTTTATTCTATCCCCTAAAAAAACCATCCTCTAGTTTTTTGTCTGACATTCCATATAATTATCTTATTTTTCTCCTAAGAAGTCAAACATTAAAATGATGTTTGCTTGAAGGGACTGTAATCGTAATTTGTAGAGTTGTCTTGTATGTCCGATTCACAGCGGTACTCTTAAACCCTATGTCTGATCAACGAGATATCTACAGTATTTGATCATCAGGTCAAAATTGTTATTTCAATAATTGTGGTTTCTCCATAAAAGTGATTTGCGCATTTATGTTTTGGCAAAATACTAATAGAATATTAGTTATCTATTGATGATAAATATTGACATGCCAATCTATTTTTTCATTATAGGTGACTTTTCGCTTACAGACCCTTTATCTGTAGGATAAAAGATGATGCTGGGTTTGATAAAATGAAATATTCCTTGTATGTTTCTTTATCCCGGAGCAAACCATCGATCTGTCGTCCCAACATTCTCATCTCAACCATCTACATTAAATATACAGTCAGATTCATTTCGTTATGGCATCAATATCTTTAATTATCTCTAAAATTGTTGAGAAGAAGAAGCTAAACTTATAAGATAAATAATTCTTTGTAATCGAAATATTGAGTTTTTAAAATCCCAGCTCTTTAGAGAATTAAATCATGATTTTTGTGGTAATTGAAAGATGTTTACGACTGATGATACCTGTTCCTCTACAGTTAGCTTAAATTCCTCTGCTCTGGATTGTGAGACCTGGAGTTGGGTTTGCAGATTAGAAACTAATCTATCCTTCTCCTTCAATCCATTCTTCAGCTCCGCAACCAGTCTCTCCTTCTCCTCAACCAACCTTCTCATCAATCCTTCCTCATCTTTCTTCTCCACCTTCTCCTCCGTCTCCACCTTCTCATCCTTCTCATCCTTCTCTTCCTTCTCGTCCTTCTCCTTCCCTTGTATCAAACTTCTGATCAGTATATCCTTTGTTTCGTTTTCGGTTTGTGATCCTTTATTGTGATTTCTCTCTCTTCCGTCCTCGCTTTGTGAAAATGGTTCAAGGTTGTCCCCAGAGGAAAAAGGATAAGTGTGAGAGGACGGATACCGTTGGAAGATTGTTGTTGGAGAATATAATCCGTCCTACAGAATTTTAATTGTCATATTTTATCCTCTTTAGATAAATCTTTAAATAGTCAAATTTATATTTTGCACCGAAAAGGATTTGAATCTTTGCCATAAACTAACATTTTCTAATCCCTATATATTTGCAACCTGATGATTTAAACATTTGATATTCTAAACTTAGTTTCATCTAACAGAATTCATAGTTTGAAATATCTACTGTCCACGTGGGAATAACTCATTTCCCTTTGGATGCATTTTAATTGTTCTTGTAGTATACAGGGTGACCCACAAAGGATGAGACTTCAGAGACGATTGTACGGAATTTATACTGTCTGTTTTCTTATATTCACAATTCCCTTGAAACTGTAAACTTGTTTGTTTCTTTGTCAAATCATCAAATAAGCCATTAGATAAATATATCTAAAGTAGAAGACATTATTTTAACCTTGGGATCGTCGCAATTTAAGAGTTTCCGGTCGTCTTTACTGTCTCATCCTTTGTGGGTAACCCTGTATATAAAAAGATTGGCTTGATGAATGAAAGTTAGAGATAGACATGAGATAAGTTAGATAAGAGTTAAACCATTAGTTGAATAAAGAATAGACAATTTTTCCTGTCTGATTAGTTTTAGAACTTTGCCATCATTATCCCTTTCCACAGAAACACTAGTTATGCCTAGCCCTATCAACATTATTATTATTATTATTATTATTCCCATTTTTGTCCCCAAGAAAACTTGATAAATGGTCCTATTGTATTGACGCAGTGCGTAACAGTTGGTTGGTATAATGATACGAAGATGACGCAATTTTAAAATATACGATAGCGTGAAGAATTTCTGAAATACAATACAGCCACCATTTGGAATCCTAGGTCTATTGTATACAAGATACATGGATACAATTTAGTTAATCATTAATTCTTTCATCTTTCCTCCTCTTCCATTTATCTTTTCCACTTTGAAAAGCAAAACTGAAAAGGTTGTTGCAATTTACATTATTTACATTTTCCAGGAAAACGTTTCAGTTCCTTTGTAAAATGTTAAACATTATTTTTTCTTAAATTGCGGTTCAATTACTTAATTGTATTTCAGTATTTGACATGAGAATTAGGGGGGGGGGGTGGTAATCCTGTCCTCACTATTCAATATCCATATGATCCAGACTGCTATGAAACTTTGTAGCAATTTTTAAGACTGGGTTCGGCTTTAACAGAATTGGTATATAATCACTATTTCTTATTAAGATATTAATTGATATTAAATCACTATCTAATATAAACTTTTTTTCCCTAGATATGCATATTTTAGTATTTTAAAGCAATTAGCTCTACTTTTGTGAAGTAATTCGCAAAATTCTCAACGATTTTTGCTTGAGAGCTTGCAACCTGGGGATTACTGTGAATAACTTGTAAGAGCCTTACAAGTTTACTCTCAAGGCTTAAATGAATAAAAAAAAGTTTAATATTGGTAGAAGTTCCCAGAGGCAAATTTAAAGAATTTGAAAACATGATTGATTCAGCTTGAAATCTTTATCAGTGTTTCGAGATTTGAGCCAATGCGCAATTTGAACCGATGATTTGAGGTTCTTCATTAAATTCGGCCTCAGAACGACTTCTTAGTCCTCAGTAAAAGAAATTTATACTCTAACAAGAGAATTAACCGCGGTATTGGTAGATGGGCTGAATAAACACTTGCCTGAATTCAATCTGATTATGTTTGTCCATGGTTCATTAGGTTCAAATCTATCTCCTGGAATATCTGGAGAAGCAGGTTCAGATTCGTTCTCCGAGTCATCATTGGCAGAGGAGCATACTTCAGAAATACTGGAAGACGATCTGATTTGGCAGATTTTCTCCAAGGTTTGGGAGATTTGGGCAATCTGATCCAAGGTTTGGTTTGGAGCTCCTGGAGCAGTATAGAGCTGGGATACAGAGAACTCGGTGCTGGAGAAGGGATGAGGGAAAGGTTCGAAGGATCCTGATCGTGCGGAAGAACAGGGTTCAGGGATGGTGGCACGCGGAGACACGATTTCGTTATTTCCTCCTTCAATATGGATTCGAGTGACCAGGTTTCCGGTTGGCTTTGCTCCATGTAGGGGTTGCAGTACACAATTATTGGAAGCAGGAGCTGATTCTATCATTTGGATATTTTCTACGTCCGTTAAATTTTCAACGGGGCAAAAATTACTAAGATTAATACTTGCACCTTGACCAGGGTTTGGTTTGGGGTTGGGATGCGCTGTGGCTAGAGTTTTCATGTCTCCGACTAGAATGTTGGTTAGAGCTTGAAGCTGAGAACTTATGGAGTTTAATTTCTCTTCCATACTTCCTCGGCACACATTACATACCTTAGAAGCATTTATAATACATATATTGATACTTCCTCGGCACACATTACATACCTTAGAAGCATTTATAATACATATATTGATACTTCCTCGGCACACATTACATACCTTAGAAGCATTTATAATACATATATTGATACTTCCTCGGCACAAATTACATACCTTAGAAGCATTTATAATACATATATTGATTTGTACTTCCTCGGCACACATTACATACCTTAGAAGCATTTATAATACATATATTGATTTGTAATAAAAATATTCAGCAGACCCAATAAATGTTTTTATACTAAGTTGTTCAAAATCTAATATCATACTGATCTAATTACTAAAAGGAAATCTTAGCAAATAAGGAACTGTAGACGTATTTCTCAGTCATTTAAAGTTAAAAATTGATTTGTAAGTAATTAGAATTAGTATGTCCAATTGAAAATGGTATCCTTTTTTCTATCCAAATATTGATTATTTTAAATTATGGATTCTTCGCTTTGTAAGTTATAAAATTAACTATTATGCTACAAAGACATTGAAGTATAAATTTCAGAATTGAATAGACTCTGAGAGAGATAAACGAAGTTATCATCTTCAATATTAATCAGATAGAGGTTGAAAGGATACCGTTGTGAATAGGACATGTCACTTTATAAATGAAGGTTCAATTGAAACTGTTTACAACAAGAAAGAAAAAAATACCTGGCTGGGAAGAGCTTGTGATTTTGATATATCATTGAAATCTGTCTCTTCAAAAACAGGCTGCTCAATCTCCGTCACCTCCGAGCAGTCAATGGAGCAGCTTCTAACAAGAGAGCTGTCTCGGTCCCAGGAGCTTCGATCTGTTGCTCTATCTATATAGCTGAGAGAGCAGTGAAAGCAAAGTTGAATTCTCTGCTCTAAATCTGATATCTGTTCCCTGCAACCAGAAATCGTTATGTTTCAAATTGCTGATTAAAGTGAGTGTTCGCTAAAAATAAGCGCTTTTGATCGCTACTAATCTTACTTCTATCTGTTGCGTCTAAGGAGAAAATTGTTAAAAAACGACTAATACTGAAGAACGTGGGGTCCATATAAATTCAGAAAGTTGCAACATACGACTCAGATCGTAAAAAAATCAATTTAATTTCAAACAAATCATTTAGACATTACAACCTTTAATCATCGATTATTTTTCGACGCATTCCTATATAGTTAATATTTCATAATATTTCTTATTTGTTTTATATACAATGCACTTAACACTACGTTTTTTTTCCGCAAGGTGTCTCTGCTACGTGTAATCATCGAGACCAGAAACACGGGTGACCAACTATTTCGGCGTTTTTAGTGCATTGTATACAAAACAAATAAAAATAACATGAAATATTAACTAAATACGAATGCGTCAAAAAATAATCGGTGACTATAGGTAGTAAAATTTGAATGATTTGTTTGAAATTGAATTGATTTTTTCACGATCCGGGACGCATGTTGCAACTATCTAAATTTTATGGGCGCTTTTAATGAAGTCCAATAATTTTTATAAACATTTTATTGTGGCTTCTTTTGAGTCTGGAGAACAACTATTTATTTATAATTTTATGATTCTTATCATTATCAATTTTATTTAAAGACAGTGCTTTCTTTATTGTACTTATTCAGCTCATTTATAAGAGTTTGAGCATTATAAAGGGTTAACGATATTTACCTGAGACTCTTTATTTCTGACTCCCTCTCCGCTAGAACTAGATTCCACTGAACCAAACTGGTTTCACTCGACTTCTCCAGGTCTGAGATACGAGCGGTATACAAGGATATCTCAGCCTAAACCAATATAATGAGATACGAGCAGTATACAAGGATATTTCAGCCTAAACCAATATAATGAGATATGAGCAGTATACAAGGATATCTCAGCCTAAACCAATATAATGAGATACGAGTGGTATACAAGGATATCTCAGCCTAAAACAATATAATTAGATTCGAGTAGTATACAAGGATATATCAGATTAGATATCCATAATTTAAATTTGGAAAGCTGATTATATTTAATTGAGGGTTCTCTACAAAAAGTTATTTGCGCAATTCTAATGCAAGAAAACATAGAGGAATAATTATCAGAATTAAACACTTTCGACTTGAGTCAGAAAACGACTATATCTTCCACATCTATAATCGGAATAAAGTTTCAATGGTACTGTTGTAAATCGGGCATTGCCATCTTTGCATGGAGGGTTACTTGAATTTACGCATACAGACCTTTTAAAATGTAAAATAAGTCTAGCTCTATAGCTCAAATAATTTTTCCTATTCATTAAATTTGGTCTCCGATATTTCATTTGAATGTTATGTAAGATAATGTTCTGTTAAACTCATATGATCTTTTTAGTCCAACCCAGATATCCATTAATCCCAACACTGCTCTAATTATATTTGATCATGTTTTGTCTTGCAAAATGATCTGTCAGCATTTTGTCTTATTTCGTCTAATTTATGCAGATTTTTTATTTCGCAGCAGTTTTTCAGTCCTGTGCGGTTTAGGTTTGATAGTTCCCAGAGCTGTTTATAGCGTGATACATCTTTATACGTCCTATCCATCCTATCCATCTGTCTATATATCATCTTCTTCCTTGTTAAATTATATACCAAGAGATATCCAACCCAATCCAGATACAGATACAGATACAGATATGTATACGTAGAATAATTGCAATTCTATATCTTGTTGAAATTATATCCTACGAAACCTGTGTGTATGATTTACCTCGCCCTCTCCTCCCCCTACCCTCCCACTGTCCCTGTATAGTTTCCTTCGGGCAGTCTAGGTTACATAACGCTAAAAGCTAAAATTGTGGGCGTATTGTCTCTTAATCTGAAGATATATCTTCATTAAGTTGAAACCAGCTAGACTAGGGTTGGATATAATATAAAACAAAAGAAGAAAAATGAAACCTTTAATCACTGTGTAAAAAGCCTATGCAGGTGTTCTTAAATATTGAACCGAAACCATACGAAAATAAAAACGTTTGGTTTAGCACAATTTTAATGACTGGATTTCGCAACACATATCTGGATTAAACATTTCTTTGCAGTGGGGGGGGGGGGGCACACCCCTCGGGGTAATTCCGAGGAAGAAGGTTGAAGGATTGAGAGGAAACAGAGTAGTTTAATTAGACAAGGAATGAAGGAATGGAATGAAATGTTTAATTATTTTCAACATCTATAATTAATGTTAAATCCGTCTCAACTTGTCTAATTAGTTAGTCCTTCAGTCTGTTAGTTTCTTAGTCTGTGAGTTTGTGAGTCTGTGATTCTGTGATTCTGTGAGTTTGTGATTCTGTGATTTTGTGAGTCTGTGATTATATGAGTCTGTGAGTCTGTGAGTTTGTGAGTCTGTGAGTCTGTAATTCTGTGATTCTGTGATTATGTGATTCTGTGATTCTGTGAGTCTGTGATTCTGTGATTCTGTGAGTTTGTGATTCTGTGAGTCTGTGAGTTTGTGAGTCTGTGATTCTGTGAGTTTGTAAGTCTGTCAAATACTCCTAATTTGAAAGAATTTACCTGAACAAGTTTAAGTTTATTTTTCAGATCAGTATTTGTATTTTTGAGTGTTCCCCAACTAGGGCTGTCGCCCTCAAGTATCAACTAGATAAATAAATTAATAAATTTTATCAAATTTTATCAAATTTTATTCAATAATTTTTAGTTTAAAGACCCTCCTCAAAAAAGGAATTGAGTCTTCGGCACAAATTCAAATTGTCTAATCCCTATATGTTTGCAATGGCTTTAACTTTTGATATTTCAATCATAGATTATTTGTTCTATAACTTGAATCCATAGTTTAAAATATCTAAGGTCTACAGGGTTAGGTTGCAAAGATATAAGGATTTAAAAATCAGAGTTTGTGACAAATACTCAATTTCGTTGTAAGACTGAAACAAAATTTTAAGAAAGGAAAAGATTAGAGAAAAGGTTCAGTTATTTCTATGCAGAAGAGCTACAGACTCGCTATTAAAAAATCTGGCCCCTGGTCGGCGCTTTTTTAAATATATTCAAGATATACAGTATTAACCAGAAAACTCTAAAATAGGAAGACAACTTTTAGAATCAAGTTATAAATTTTAAAAATCTGAGACACAGCAATTGTGGAGTGTAAACAGACCCATTTCACTTAGTTAGCGTCTAGTAAAACTATTTGTTTTGTAACAACATCAAATACATTTGAATATTCCTATAATGTCGTCTTCCTTTTCAATTTTTTTTTGGTTATCACTGTACTAGGCCAGAACTTGATAATTACTTTGAAGCGATTAAGTTATTAATCATTTACAGAAGTATTAACTGAGAGATTAAAAACAGTTCCGACTCCTAGAAAAAACTGAAATGCACAGAGCAGTTTGTTGAGAAATATACAAAAATACAAGCCAGTGCAGGTTCAGATGCATGCAACTGCACATAGTGTTGGAATTGGATGTAAACATCGAGTAGCGAAGCGTTAAAAGTTTTTGGTAACATTTTCTTTCAAAGAATCATTTTTAATTTTGTAGATAAAGCAGTGTACTCTTTACAAAAGTATTTTTCATAGGTATTACGTGCATTTGATAATGTCCTGTCATGCTCATTTTTGGTAATCTAATTTAAATTTACAGTTTTATTATATATTTTGAAATATAAAAGTTATTTTATTTGATTTCAATATATGAATGTCCATTGTCCATACTTTACTTATATTATTATTTTTAAATTTAACCATAATAATACTTGGTGTAGGATCAGAGTCTTTGTCATAAAATCAAATTTTCTGATCCCTATATCTTTGCTACCTAATGAACGATGGTGTAAACTTTTGAAATTTCTACGATATTAGGTTGCAAAGATATAGGAAGTAGAAATCAGAGTTTATAGCAAAAAATTAATTCTTTTGAAATAATTTTCCAAATAGAGGATGGTCAAAATTAAAATTGAGGAGCGATAAGTTATGTTTATAGACGAATTATGCAAAGGGAAAAGCATGCTTTAAGGAGGAATAATCATGGTATGCGGGAAATTAGGAAATGCTGTGTAGGGGATGCATGCCGAGCATGCTACTTGAAAGGTATACTAATTTTTTAATCCAAAAGCATGCGAATTAAAAATGAGTAAGCACAATGTCCAAATGTAAATACGTAAATATTGTTCCCAAATCATATCATGCGTTGTCTTGTAAACGTAGGTTTAAGTGATCCTATACAGCAAAAACACGCAAATCAATAACAGGGATATCGGACATGATCTCTTTACACGGAGGGTCACTTCAAATTACGTCTACAGTCCCTTACAGGAGAAAAAGCATTCCTGAAATTTAACGAAAACGCGTGTCCCCTAAAATCTTACCTTTATTCCTGACAGTTGGCCATTGCCACTTAGGAATTAGGAGAAAGAAAAGTGCAAAAAAATACGGATTAGGAAAGGACAAGAAGGATTAGGTTAGGGTACATATATATGAAGACAGGACTAGGAAAAAGTACATGTTTGTTAGGAAAAGGTAAAGGATATTGAAGGCATCACTTCTATGATGGGCTGACTACACGTTCACATTAATCACAGACATTCAGGACTACAAGTCCAGACTCAGAGTAGTCCAAACTGGACTAGTCGGGCCCCAGACTTCTACATAGTCCACTTTTTATATATATAATACATCACAAGTCCAATAGTCCATAATGTGACGGACTAGAATAATATGCATTGGTTTGACTAGGATCCAGATCCCTAGTTCTTGGAACTAGGTTGAGCAAGGTTGGATCCTAGTATCCCGAGTACCCGGAGTAAGGTTTAGGTTGAAGTCCTGTCTCCGGGATCAAGGAATCTATCTGATCTTGACTAGCAGGAAGAATCTGCCAGTATGATCCCTCATGCTCTTATATCGATAGAAATTGGAAAACTTTCCGGTGCTAACCTCGGAACGGAAATCAGGACTCCCGGCGCCGTCGCGGGAAGCAGGAACGCTTCGTTCCTGGCTGGAACGGAACTCATGATGCCCTGAGTCCTGTCTGGAACGGAGTAAAGGTTCCTCGGATAGTTCCCGTTCCGTAGAGTTCCCACGGGATACAGTCATTGGATCAGATCTGGAATATGGGAACATTTTATTTTCCTTTTGTCGAGATTTATCTTATTTGTCCATGATAATTAAAATAATATAAATTTGTTTATTTATTGGTGTATAATTTTGTTTTAAGCTAAACGTTAAAATATCATTAATTGTACTTTTGTCACAAGCATCTAGTCCATGTTTTAGAATTGGTGTCTAATATTTTTGTATACGTGCCTATTTTTTAGAATTGCTGTCTAGTATTTTTGTCTAAGTGTCTAATAAATCAACTTCCTACCTCTCTGAAGACTCCAGATCACTGGTTCTAGATTCTGTTTCAAAACTCTCTAAACTCTTTATCTGGAGCCGCAGCGTATTCTTCTGAAAAAAATACTTCTAAAATATTTAAAGAGACTGTTCACATAATTTCAAGTCACACTAAATGCAACGATGGCATTGTCCGATTAACAAGGCAACACTTGAAACAGTTATTTGATCAGAGCTGAAAACTTTTGAATGGAATATCCTTAATCCCGATCGGTTAATTAATCTGGAGATTAATAACAAGGGGAGAACAAGCATTATTTAATCTGGAGATTAAGAAAAAGAGGAGATCAAGCATTAATCTCGATATCCACCATTCTAAAGTTTTCAGCTCAGTTTTCTCAAAGATTTAGTTGTTTTTCTAGGTTTCAAACTCTTTAAATCTTATAATTTCTTTGTTTTCCTGCAGTAGAAATGCACATGTCACTTTTGCAAAGAAAATTGAAAACACTCAGTTTTCAAAATTATAAACATTATATACATACTTGATCATCAAATTTTATTCTTTTAAGGGTATCATTGTGAAATTGGGCATTGCCATTTTTCATGAAGGGACACTTGAAAATACGCTTATAGTCCCTTTAAATAAGGGTTGGGAGAAGGATTACAAACGCAGCTTATGTATTTATTGAATTTGACGTTTAGAGTTTAGACTGCATAATTAAAAAGGCTAGCTTTGAACAGCAGTGTCAACTATTTACAAAAAAATCTAATAATAATAAAAACAAAGGAATTAATCACTCTTCATAAACTATAATTTTCTTTTTATTATATCTTTGCAACATTTTTATCTCAAACTCTGTTGCTTAGTTTGCCAAATATAGGGATTCAAAAATCAGTGTTTGTTCTCATTTAGTTTTAAAATGTTTTTTTTGCTAACAGATTTTTTTTACCTTTCTAAGTTTCTCCCCGTCAATATTCCTGTTCCTAATCTTATCTGAGCATTCAATCCTCTCTTCCTCTCCGTCTCCTTCTTTTCTTTTTCTATTCTCCTTCTTCATCACAATATTTATTCTATCCTCATCCTTTGTCATAATCTCCTTTTCTTCCTCTTTTTTCTTCTCATCTTCTTTCTTCATTTCCTTCCTCTCTTCTTCTAAAATCTGAAGTTTTCTTCTTAACTCCTCTTCAGATCTCCTAAATTTGGAAATAGTTAAGTTGATTTTGATTTTGGCAGAATTAACAATACACTCATACGTTCTTCTGTGTATTGTAAATTGTAATTGTGCTATTAATCAATGGTTGCAGAGAAAATTAAATGTAAACAATTTTAATGTGCGCGCACAATTAGTTAAAAGAGCGATCTAGTATTCCCTTTACATTTAAAACATTCATTATGAACATTGTTGGCTGTCCCTTTAAATCTTAAGAATTAACAAAATAATGCTAAAATTCTCTTTAAATCTAAAAAGTAAGTAAAAATAGCGTTATCTGTCTCTTTAAATCTAAATATAATCAGTTGAAATATTGTTAGCTGTTCCTTTAAATCTAAAAGGTAAGTTAAAAGGGCGTTATCTGTTCCTTTAAATCTAAATATAATCAGTTGAAATTGTGTTAGCAGTCCCTTTAAATCTAAAAAGTAAGTTAAGAGGGCGTTATCTGTCCCTTTAAATCTAATTATAATCAGTTGAAATTGTATTAGCAGTCCCTTTAAATCTAAAACGTAAGTTAAAACAGCGTTATCTGTCCCTTTATATCTAATTATAATCAGTTGAAATTGTGTTAGCAGTCCCTTAAAGCTAAAAAATTAGGTAAAATATCGTTTGCAGTCCCTTTAAATCTATGGATTTGTTTCTATACCTGAGTTGTGCGAGAATATTCTCGACCTCCTTGAGCCTGTTCACCTCCTGTTTAAGGTTCATCTTCTCCTCCTTCATCTTCTCCCTCTCCATCTTCAACCCGTCCACCAGCTCGCGCAGCTCACACACATCCTGGAGCAGACAGGGGTTACTACAAAACTTTGGAATGATTGTCCTCCTCGTTCTTGCTTTTAATTGTGAAATTTTTCTAAGAAGTACGAAAGGAACTGATTATTCTCTTCATACTCAGATTTTCTAAACCTTACATCTTTGCAACCATGATTTCATTAATCTCGGATAAAAATGCCAACGGTTATACACTATCAGATTGAAAACATTTAGAGATTAGAAAATAGAGTTTGCTGCTAATTTTAAATTCTTTGTTATAAATATATTAGAAATAGATTTTTAAAAAGCATTATATGGCAAATTGGTTAAAAAATAGCTTATAAATCAGCAACGATAGTCTGAACACCTAACTTTGCCTGGCAACCTAGATTTAGCAACGAAAAGGGAAAATCGTTTCGCGAAAGAAAAAAAATTCGAAATTTTGCGAACTAAGAAATGCGAAAATTTCGATAAAATTTCGCGAAAAAAATTCTCTATATAAAGATTCTTCTCTTTAAACATTAATTAAAGTAAAGGAAGAGAAATTATTTATTATGATAAAATAAAACTTTAATTCTGAGCTCTCACAGCAGAGAATTTCACAAGTTTTTTGCGCAACTAATTGTTGCAGCTACAGCTACAACACTTAATGTTTTCGCGGAATTTTTTTTTCGCGAAAATTGTTTTCGAAAATTTTTTCATGGTATTAGCATTTTTTTGCTTTATTCATTTTCGCAAAAAAAGTTTTAAGATACGAATGAAAATTTTTGTTTTTTTTTGCGAACGTTTTTGTTCGCTTGAAACCCCTCTGGCAACCCAGATTTGTCTATAAATCTAAAATAAAAAAAACCACCCTATTAAGCTTATAATTTTTTCGAATCAAACTAAAACCAGTCCCGTGTTTTTAAGAACTTTTCAACTTCAGAAGTTTATAAGTTTATATCTCTTTGTACAAACCTTCAGTTCAGATTTAATATCCAGATTAGTTTGTTCCTTCTCCTCTAGTTTTTCCCTGAAATAATACTTTTGCAATTTTTCTTATCTTCTTAATGTCAAAAATGCAAAGGAATTTTGTTTAAATCTTTCCGGGTTATAATTTTTTATAATTGATGTTAACTTAAATTTTCAATTGGAATCAAATACAACTTTTTATCAATATAGTGAGTATTTTCTTTAGCTTTAATTTCAGTAAACATTATATGTGTCAGTAAAACTTGAAATATATTGTCTCTATAAAATTTACTTTAAGGTTTAAAATATACATTTTAGAATAAGAAATTACTTAAATCGTAAAAAATTTGACCAATTAAACAAAAAATTTTACTTTTTCTTTTTAATACTTTTTTCAAAGATTGTTGATTCAAATTGGAAAAAAACCAAGTGTATCTCGTCCCATGGTTAGTCCATAGTAATATCAACGCAAATATAAAAAATGTCATCTGTGGTTTTATTTAATTCATTAAACTTGACTTTTATCAATTATATTTTTATGTAAATTTCATTGTGCACTGTACTTTTGATTTGAAAATATATTAAACTGCGCAGTAGTTTTTCGTAGTTATTAATAAATCATAAAAAAAAGAGTTTAACTTAGGTTTAAAATTAGTTTTTAAGTTTAATTATGTAACTTTTAATCATAAAACTTAATAATTAATTTTGATTGTACAGTTAAACTTCACATGAAAACTGTTCATGTTAAACCGTCAAACTGTGCAAACATTCGATGTTTTACTGTTCATTTGATTTCATAAAATCGCTTTACAAAAATGATGATTTCTCAAACCTCGAAAGTAAACAAATATTTTGTCGACTTTCTCATATATTGCAGTTGTTGGAGGTGTTTTTTTTTCTCAATTTAGTTAGTTTATATGAAAACTATTTAACATTAAGAGTTTCTGGTTCTCATGTCATTCTCATCTTTTGTGGGTAACCCTGTATGCTCAATACCTACACCATTAGAAAACCTTTGAACCGTCAGTTACATATTTTAAAAAAAATGTCGGGGCTCTATCACTTTGAGATATTTTTCAATTCGTTCGATAACGATTACAGCTCTTGGAAAAGAACAGACTCATTCAGTAATCGTTCGTATTGAAAACAAAACACTCAGATTGAGAATTAAATATTTTTTTATACAAACCGAGGTTTGTCCACCCCTATCCATTCCTATCCAAACCCATAAATATAAAGAAGAGCTGAGAACCATAATACCTCAAATATGCAGACCATGCATGACAAACATTCAAATACAAGAAACATAAAATTTACGATTTTCATAAATCATATTTCATGATTTTCTAACTGTCGTTAACTTTTGTCATTTCATTGTAAAGCTGTGTGCTAACACAACTATTCGAAAATAGAAATATCATAAAATCTGCATTTCAAGGGCTAGGCATTGGGAGNTTGACTGACTAACCTAAGCAAGGGAAAGGTTGACTGACTAACCTAAGCAAGGGAAAGGTTGACTGACTAACCTAAGCAAGGGAAAGGTTGACTGACTAACCTAAGCAAGGGAAAGGTTGACTGACTAACCTAAGCAAGGGTAAGGTTGACTGACTAACCTAAGCAAGGGTAAGGTTGACTGACTAACCTAAGCAAGGGTAAGGGTAACTGACTAACCTAAGCATGGGTTAGGGGGATTGACTAACCTAACCATGGGAGAAATGGCACTGACTGACCTAATCAAGGGAGAGGGGGACTGAGTAACCTAAGCATGGTAAGGGGGACTGACTAACCTAATCATGGGAGACGTGGGACTGACTAACCTAATCAAGGTAAAGGTGGACTGACTAACCTAGGCAAGGGAGAGAGGGACTGACTAACCTAAGCAAGGGTAAGTGGGACTGAGTTACCTAAGCATGGGAGAAGGTTGACTGACTAACCTAATCAAGGTTAAGGTGGACTGACTAACCTAAGCATGGGAGAAGTGGGACTGACTAACCTAGACAAGGGAGAGGGGGACTGACTAACCTAAGCATGGGAAAAGGTTGACTGACTAACCTAAGCTGTATTTGGCAGGTTTCTAAAGCTTCTACAGTAGTTCTCAGTTTAGCTTCAGATTCTTCAACCGCTGCTAGTTTAGCTTCAAGATTCCTGTAATATTTACAATATGTTAACCCTAATAAACCGGGGCCAATTATTATCCACAATGTAATGGAGGGCCAGGGGGCAGTTCGTTCATATCTTAATTTTTCTTGTCTTGATTGGATGTTAATGATTGCTTTGGAAAAGTTACTTAATTCCAGATTTTATGCATGAGTAGCGTGACGTAGTTGAACTTCCTAGATTAAATTAAACCACTTCACATCAAATTAAACCGGCACAAAAGAGATGTGGTTCAACTATGTTTACTTGGTTCAACTAATTCTCGCTACTCTTTAAATCTGGTGTCAACTAGTTAAAATATTGAAGGATTGGGTTTCCAATTGGAATTTTCTTTGCGTATAATTGTGTAGAATTGCGCTCAAATTGCACGGAATGGTGCGGAATTGCGTTTAGTTACAGGGCTCGACATTGCGCACAAGTAAAATCCACTTGTTTTGGAAACCCTATTGAAGGGTTAAAAGGAAGGAGGGAGGGGTGAATGGGGGGGGCAGGGACTATAAGAAGTGACCCGGTTAGTTTAATTGTTATGAATTGATGTATAAAATATTGTTCTGCCTGATAATATTCATCTCGTCCTTATTCTCAGCTTCTTCCAAATTCTTGTTCTTCTTCTTCTGCTCGATTGACCATAGCGCACCCTACACGGTACACAAATATATCTTATACAGTTGGACGAATTTTAATCTACTGTTTTACTAATTACTGTTCATGTTTCTTCTAGTTTTCTACTTCTATACTCATAGTTCTACTCCTATACTCCTAGTTCTAATCCTATAATCCTGGTTCTACTCCTATACTCATAGTTCTAATCCTATACTCCTGGTTCTACTCCTGTAATCCTGGTTCTACTCCTATACTCCTAGTTCTAATCCTATACTCCTGGTTCTACTCCTGCAATCCTGGTTCTACTCCTATGCTCCTAGTTCAAATCCTGTAATCCTGGTTCTACTACTCCTAGTTCTACTCCTGTAATCCTGGTTCTACTCCTACACTTCTAGTTCTACTCCTGTACTCCTGGTTCTACTTCTATATATTCCTAGTTCTACTTCTATATACTCCTAGTTCTACTTCTATATACTCCTAGTTCTACTTCTATATACTCCTCGTTCTACTTCTATATACTCCTAGTTCTACTCCTATATAATACTCATTTGCTCCTGGTTCTATTCGTAGTTCTACTCCTATACATCTAGTTCTACTCCTATACTCCTAGTTCTACCCCTAAACTTCTAGTTCTACTCCTATACTCCTAGTTCTACTCACTCCTATACTCCTGGTTCTACTCGTATATACTCCTAGTTCTACTCCTATACTCCTAGGTCTACTCCTCGTACTGGTTCTACTCGTAGTTCTACTCCTATACATCTAGTTCTACTCCTATATACTCCTAGTTATACTTCTATACTCCTGGTTCTACTCAATCCTATACTCCTGGTTCTACTCGTATATACTCTTAGTTCTACTCCTATAAGCTAGGTCTACTCCTAGTACTGGTTCTACTCGTAGTTCTACTCCTATACATCTATTTCTAATCCTATACTCCTAGTTCGACTCCCATACTCCTAGTTCTACTCCTATACTTCTGATTCTACACCTTTACTTATGGTCCAACCTTGAGTTCATGTTTCTCCTGCTCCAATCCCCGTATTTGCTCCTGATAATTAAATTCCACCCTGGCCATGATTGTATCAGCATCCTAGACATTAATTACATCTCATTAAACTTTAAGTAATTAAAAATTATAAATAGTTGGGGTTAAAAATTCTAATTATTGACATGGGTGTGTCTAGTATGCAAACATTGTTTGAGCAAAATCCGCGCTAATTGGTCACATGGTGGTCCTTACTCCTTAGATCTATTGAAAACATTTTGTATAGCAAGTAGTTTCTGTAAAGTTCATAGATTCTTCAACTCATTAATGAACGGTTGAATTTGTTATGTATTTAAAAAAAAAACTAATATTACTACATGAAATAAGTATGGACACGATTAGAGTTGGACATTGTTGCTTTCCGTTTTTTAGAATATTATTTTTGGATTTGTGACTTCTTGGAGGCTTCACAAGGTAATTCAAAATTAAAATTTCAATTATTAATCTTTTATGAAATAATGCAAAAGTTTGACTCCAGAAGAAGATGTGAACCTGAACGAAGCAAAATTAACTTTTCTTTTAGACTTATATCCTCTGTCCGAGTAAATGTTTTGTAAAGTAGAATAACAGCAAACTTTTAGAAAATATAATTCAAAATATTTTAACTCCTGAAAGTCTAAACATTTTGAATGTTTAAAAAAAGGAAGATGTCCATAGATTAATACCAATACAGATAAAACACTAGATGTCGTCTTTTCAAGATTTAGTGGTATTTCGAACACAATAACCCTGAGGCAGAAGCCCTAAGGAGTTAGAACAGACTATCTCTCTCTGTCTTGTAATTCGACGGGGCATGCGCGTAACCCCTAAATCTTGAAAAGACGACATCTAGTGTTCTATCTTTATTGTTATAAATCTATGACAAGGTTCTACTCTATATAAAATGTCCTTTTTTTAAAATCTGTATTTAATTGTCTTTCAAGGTTTATCTTTAGGAATGTAATTAACGAGAGCCTAGCCAAAATGTGTATAGGGTTTTTTAGCTTTACTTCTTGATAATTAAACTGTTCATCAATGTTTAAACATTGTTTTTATGTCTAACATTGTTTTGAAATGGTTAAAATTTAAAAGAACTGTAAATTTAATTTCAAAAACTTTGCAAAGTTGGCAATACCCGATTCACAAAACGATACCTTAAAGTGCTTTGTCTTATCAAGAATGATTATTTATTAATGTTTATAATTTTCAAAACTAATTATTATAAATTGTGGATTCTCAACAATAATGACTTGCGTATTTATACTGCAGGAAAAAGTATAGAAATTATCAGAATTAACAGCTTTTAAAACTAGAAAAACAACAATATCTTCCACATTATTGATCAGATAAAGGTCTTAATGGTAAATTTCACATATTTCATCTTTGCCATCCCAGGGGGAATGAATATGACACTGAGCACAATTAAATATAGTTTGTTTTAAATAAAACTATTCGAATATTCCACAGTATAAAATAAACTGGAAATACCTGAATTGTTTTGCTGTACACAGATTCCTTCTTCTCCAAGTCGGAAATCTGTTTTCGTAGATTTGTTTCAGCCTCTAGCAGAGCTCGGACTCTGTAGACTACCTCCTCTCTACTCACCAACCAATCAACCAATTAATTTATAAAAACAAAGACGACAGGAAACTAATTTTGAATCCATGATTTTAATCATAAAACACTGGTTTAAGATGTTTCCCCCTAGTTCCATTACATGAAAAATATTCTTTCCTAAATTCCTCAAAAATTAATTAATCTTAAACAAAATTACCGGAATCAAAGAAATATTGAGAATACACATATAGTTCATGGTTGCATTGTTATGAAACATTTAATAATATTTCTAATGGCACCTCATTTATTATCTTTTAATATTTTAGATAAATGATGTTGAACCCTCTAATAGTTTATATTCGGATTTAGATTAGTGCAGCTAATTGTTTTATTATCAAAATCATCAGGGGCGTATTCAGGAATTTAGTTAGATATTTTTTTCTAGGGGGGGGGGGGGGGTCTCAGCACCCGTCGGGCTCAATAACCCCTGGAAATCATATCACCGAACCCATGGAGGGAGGGGGTCTTAGCCCCTTTAAGCCCCTTCATCAGAATGCGCCTCTGACAATCATTAACTAAATGCTCGCTTTGTCTGATCTTAAGAAAATCTTGAAGTTCATTTAACATTTCAACTTGTCGGATGGATGGAGAAGGAGGGCTCTTGAAATGATTAATTTATGGGATAAAGCACGGAAAATTATTGATTGATAGATCGATAGATAGATGTATAGAAAGATGAATTGATTGATTAATAACATAAAAGACTGAGTGATAATTGATCAATTGACTGATTGTTGATTAATAAGTCGATTTAATGATTACTTTGAATGATTCCAAGGTTAAGATCGAATGAATTATAGATCGACAGATTAATCAAATGATTAATTGATTGATTGATTTCCTCTTGTTGTTAACTTGAACATGTCCGAAGAGAATTGTTACAAGCTCGTCAAGGAAGGATTCAAACTCTAGTTCTATATTCTCAAGCTGTCTGTACAATTCATCCTCCCTAAACAGGTAATAGAGTACACTGTACAGTACGCCTAGATTCATGTACAATTCATCCTCCCCAAATAAGTAATAGTGCAACAGTGTACAGTACGCCTAGATTCATGTACAGTTAATCCTCCTAAACAGTTAATAGTGTACACTGTAGAGTACGCCAAGATTCATATACAGTTCATCCTTCCCAAATAGTTAATGTTGCAACAGTGTACAGTACACCTAGATTCATGTACAGTTAAACCTTCCTAAACAGTTAATAGTGTACACTGTACAGTATGCATAGATTCATGTACAATTCATCCTCCCCAAATATTTAATAGTGCAACAGTGTACAGTACACCTTGATTCATGTACAGTTCATTCTCCCTTGCAGTTGATATTGTCTACTATACAGTATTATAGCTTGATTCATGTACAGTTCAGTTCATCCTCCCTAAACAGTTAATAGTGTCTACTATAAAGAAAAGCTAGATTGCTGTACAATTCATCCTCCCGGTGTTGTACCAAAGTTTGTATACGTGTGTCAAACATTTTGACCTGCTATAATGTAATCGGGTGCGCTAGTTGTACTGTGCGTACTTTGCTGTAAATTCTTACCTCAATTTGAAATTCATCGCTAAATTATTCTCATATTCCAGCGGAAGCAGAACATGTTCTTGTTCTTGATCTTCATCAGGAGATAGTTTATTCTTTTGCTGAACTTGTTCACTGCTCAGAAGGTCTCGGTGAACCTGTTCTTCGTCAATATTTTGTTGTTCAGTGGTATCATTTTCTATACAGATGCATCATAAACATTTCATTCATAATCAGCAAATCATATATTAATAGACGGAGCGGTAATGAACGGTTGAATTTGTTATG